CACTTGAAATTGTATTAGAATGGGTATATTTTTCAGGGTAATTGTATAAACATTTGGTCGATATTTTTGTTTTCTCATGCACTTTCTAAATCCCAATGTGTTTTTGTCGTTTCAGAATCTTCTAGCTAACAGACATGGCCGATCGGGATCTGGAATCCATGACGACCTTTAGGTTTCCGTACCGGATCTGTGAATTACACCGAGGATTCTCGCCAATATCTGACACTGTTTGAACACCACAATGTCATAGTTTGAACACTGAATCGTGGTTTAACACTGTGGAATAACCCAGTCTGGACGTAAATCGCTGTTGTCAAACAGCATACCAGTTTTCTGAATCAGGCCATTATATTACGGTGTTTTACTGTGGAACATACATTATCTGAAAGAAGTTTATGTTCAAATCGCGCTGTTTAGGACATGATTATTTCTTTCATATCCGACAACGACTTTTAAACTTTGTGTTCGCTCTCAATGTCTGAAGAGCGAAAAGCGTAAACACCTTAGTCTTTCTTATAATTTACTTTTGTGCTCGTATTATGTTAATGTATTTAACAGTGCATCAGAGGAAAATAGTAAACAAGAAACATTTGTATATTAAGTGTGCAGTGAACCAACTATATATAATTATGCGCATTAATTGGAATAAGAATATGTGTTTGCGTCATGAATTTCAATGCGTAGGTGTGAGAAAATAATGACAGTAAGGATGTGATGTCGAGAGAGAGGCAATAGGGCATATTGCAATTAACCGAAAAAATAAAATCTATCTCAATTATATATTGTCTTTGTGTTTCACTTCATACGATGTCTTACGTCAGTGGGTTGAGTTTACATATAGTGTATTCTATAAACACACCTAACTGATGTGTGATTTTAAGCGCAATATCTGGACACAGGACATATACTTGGTACAATGATATCCTACAAACAGGTCTATATATACACACATACACACTATAGTTTGTGTTAAGGTATGTATCTTCAAATATTTGCAGCAGCGTACACGAAGTCTATGGTACTGATAATTACAACAATAGTTATGAACTGAAAATGTTACAAATTATTTTATCAGTGTAGGGAGTACTGGGTCGGAGTAGACCTTTTTACAATTAAAACAAAGAACCATGATTGCAAAGATGTATTTTAAAGCAGACTTTGTACTTAAGGGTACGATTGGGAAGGTGATAACAGGATGCAAAAATGTTGTAACAATGATAGATATTACAGATGTTGGTATACAAAAGAATATTAGCGTATGTGAATTCCCCGGTAGCGGTACTACTAAAAAACAAACCAAATGACAACAAGGATATATATTTGCAATGCCTCGAGGCACAGGTTGGTCCATGCTCATTGTGCTTATACAGGTGTCGGCTGGACGTCAGATAATTAGAGGATTAGCGGTAGTATCATTAAGTAACTGTACCGTTACCCTGTTGTAGCTGCATTATCACTGTGTGTGAATATTTATTTTTTCCAGACGATGTTTTGACATCGAGGATTTGGCGGAAGTGTTAATTCACTTGGTGTGTAATACCATATTTCAGCATAGCAGTATTAAGCGGAAATCACAAAGCGGAATCCGACCAACTTTAAAATAGTCAAATTTGAATACGTCGTGATTGTTAATTTCGTTATCAATCATCATTATGGTAACAAAGATTCAAGATTTTCTTCATTTTTAAATGATCGAAGAATTCGTCCCGTTTGGATATTTTGTAAAATTAACGTAGCCGATTACAGTATGGCGGACTATGTCAAATCGACAAGTACGTTACACAATACAGTTTTTTTTAATTTAGTTAACTTTCTTAATACCGGTGGCTATATGTTTTAATCGTTTATCTATTTTAAATCTTATTAAATGCTGTCATCTTGATTAAACTTCTTATTTATTTTATCATCTACTATCCTCGATAGTTGCAGTGTTCGTACTGTCTGTTGTCCAACATGATAAAAAAAAAATGACGATGTTGGTCGAACCTTGGATTCGTCGAATACCATGTATTCATCGAACTATTGATCTGGACACTACGAGTTCGAGTAAACGGAGTTTTACTGTATAAAGTATTTTTTCAATAGAGTCTATCGCATGCGGACTACTTACAAATGAGGATATCGTAATACAAATTAGAACAACGAGGCCTATGCACTTATACACAAAGTAAAGTGTTAATATAAAATAAAGGAGATTTTAAGATGCATATGTTAAACACGTATACCACCTAGATAGCTACAAGAGTAATTAAATATATATTTAATAACATACAATCCTTTTATATATATAATTAGATATGTTTTAATAGAATTACTCAGATACCAAGGAACTATTTTTCAACGGAATACGTGAAATTTCCTATTCTTCATGTACATTTTATTGAAATAACTCGGTGATACAGAAAACAAAATTATCATTTCAGTTGACAATCAATTTGAAAATTCTTTTATACAGGTGACAACCTGGATTGCAATTTTATTAGAATGTTTATATTTATTTACTAGTATCTGCCAATTCATTGACTGCATGACTCTGCAGGATAAAAGATATATAATAAAATGCATATATTAACAAAAAAAAATATGATAAAAAAACACTTAAAAAAACATTCTTTCAATTTGAACATATCCCAAATTCCAGCGACTTTTAAAACCCATTAAAAACCTTACAAAAGGTGAAAAATAAGATCACAGCCCACTTACTCAATAATGAAATGATATTGATATTTCTTTTTAGAACGATATATTTAGTGTTAAGATGTGTTTCGTATTTCCTTAATCGATATATTTACATTAATTGTAAAGGCACATTTTTGTAATCATAATATTTTCATTAATTGTAAAGGCACATTTTTGTAACCATCATAATAGAAATATCATTTTTCAATGTTTCAAATGTCATTATTAAGGTTTTATTGCCCAAATCAATATGTGTCTATAACTATAACAATTAATGTTAAATAGTATCACTTAAACTGATTATCATATTTTTTAATTTAAAATATAGAATAAGATTTATTGTGTAAATCGAAACCTATATTTTCACACCGTAATTATAAGGTGATTTTGTTTCGATAATCATCTTGTAACAGAACGTTTTTTTCATAATTGATAATATATTGTTATTATTATCGAGATCAGCTCAGCATGGTGTCTTCCAAATAGAAATGTGATACGCTCTTATAGAAAAGTAATCATTAATCATACTAATAAATATTAATAACGCATTCCTTTGGCCGACAGCCGACCCCATCGGTGCGTATTGATACTAAAATAGTTTAATAACAGATGACTATATTAAGGCTTATTACTGCTGGATTAAATAACATCATTCCAATATTCCATGCGTAGATCTCGCAATAGCAAAAGAGTATTTGAAAAAATAGTATGCACACTTTTATGTTTTGTGATACTTAATAGAATCGCTGATTTTCCACTGCAGAAAATGAAGAAGTCACAATTTTCACCATAAACAGCCCCTGTTTGAGACCTTATAATTCAGATGCATCTTTCATGTTATTAATGCAGCTCATTCAGATTGTTGTAAAGGTTAAAGCATTGTTTTGGATGTACCAATCGACTGGACATCCGAACAAGGTAAAGCCTGGTACCCCTTTATTGAAAATTATACCAGCCCTGTACCTTATAAGTATCCATGCGAAAATATTTGTATATCTTTATGCACTTATTGTGATATGTGTATCTCACCGACATCAATGTATATCAACTATTATATTCATTTTTGTCACATTAATCCCAGAGTAAACAAACTAACAACGCTGTCATTCTTATTTGCAAGTATAGCAGCATGTTTGACAATAATAATTTTTATCGTTTAGAGTATTAAAAATTAGCAAAAGAAACAAAAATGATTTTTCATTAACACCAAACTCCTTAAATTGTATTTATGTAAATGTTTTCTAACACATTAGATATCGATTGACATTCTTTTGATATCTAATTATTACCTCTGATGAATTCTAAATGGAGGAAAAAGCCATGTGACATATGGTTGAGTAAGTACTTACTGTGTTTGGCTTTCTGATCGATAAATAAAAACTATATATTATGAGGATATCCTGCAAACAAGCCGAACAATAAAAGCTATGAGTGGGGTGGGGGACCTATCAAAGTAGTGATAAACTATTCCAAAAGGCATTCAAGTCAAAACATTTGTCCTGTGTCTATTCAATGTGATGTAAAGTCAACATACCCAGCTACTAAAGTGTCGGTGTTGAAAACTCATTTGGTTCTTTACATTTCTGATCTTCGAGGGGTTAATCTGAACGAGTTAATCAACAAAGCCATGCTAAAAAGTATGCTGTTTGTGACACATGAGAGATGTCATGTACCCGAGGTGAGAAAACAGTTTCTAGACGTGTGGTACCTAAACCCGTTGGTATTGGTTTAATATTCCGCTTGGTTCAAGTACAGCCTTGTGCTTCGCGGGAATAACTTCTCCCCAGTGTGGATCGAGGATAACTTATCAAACACCATCTAGTCAATTAACATGTAATATTATACCTGTTTTACATTAAGCTGATACACAATTTACGTGTGAGACAGTTGTAACCGATACCTCCCCGGTGGTACGTTATGTGTTTGCCAGGTGCTCTTTTACGTGATAGAAGCCACCAGCAATTTTACAATTACCCCACGTAGGAATAGGGACGAGTATAAAAGGTTTCACAAAACAAGTTTGGCCAGTTCTTATATTGCCACTAGATGGTCATTGATCTAAGCTTTTACAAAACGTATAACACTACATCAACGGAAAAGAATGGATTCTGTAATGACGGGAAACACAACCGATAGGATTAACAATGCATTGGCAGCACTGAGGAGTGAAATGGTAACTATTACTTCAATTGTTATAATTATGTTTATTTCAAACACTTCAATTTAAACATACATTGAAAAGCTCAAAATTTCTCTGCTTAAATCTGCATTTACAATAAGGATCAAATGATTTATCAAATAACTTATTTTCATCATTACAGCTTGACCTCAGACAACAAGATGGCCAAATGATGAAACAGCTTATTTGTATCAACGAAAACATTAAAACTTTGTCGAAGAGGTCGAATCCTTGCAGACCAATACGAAAGAGATTTTCTTTGGTGAAAGGACGAAGGAAGTTCATCAATCCAAATGAATCCATTCCAGAAGAAGATTCTAGTTCTGCAGATTCCGACAGTGACGACAGCGTTTCTGGTACAGAGAACTACCAATGATGGAGGAACCTGGTAGCGGTCACACGACACATCTTCAAATGAATCCATCCTTAAGTGGAGTCAATCTGTTCGCTTAAATGAAAGGACGGAACCAATCCGAACGAGGAACTCTCTAGCTTTGAAGGTAACTTTAAAAAATAAAATAATTAAAACAAGTATTTGCACTTGAAATTGTATTAGAATGGGTATATTTTTCAGGGTAATTGTATAAACATTTGGTCGATATTTTTGTTTTCTCATGCACTTTTTAAATCCCAATGTGTTTTTGTCGTTTCAGAATCTTCTAGCTAACAGACATGGCCGATCGCGATCTGGAATCCATGACGACATTTAGGTTTCCGTACCGGATCTGTGCATCACACCGAGGATTCTCGCCAATATCTGACACTGTTTGGACACCACAATGTCATAGTTTAAAAACACAGAGGGCATTGAAGCAGCACTGAATCGTGGTTTAATACTGTGGAAGAACTCAGTCTGGACTTAAATCGCTGTTGTCACACAGCATACCAGTTTTCTGAATCAGGCCATTATATTACGGTGTTTTACTGTGGAACATACATTATCTGAAAGAAGTTTATGTTCAAATCGCGCTGTTTAGGATATGGTTATTTCTTTCATATCTGACAATGACTTTTAAACTTTGTGTTCGCTCTCAATGTCTAAAGAGCGAAAAGCGTAAACACCTGAGTCTTTCTTATAATATACTTTTGTGTTCGTATTATGTTGATGTATTTAACAGTGCATCAGAGGAAAATAGTAAACGAAGAACATTTGTATATTAAGTGTGAAGTGCACCAACTATATATAATTATGCGCATTAATTGGAATAAGAATATGTGTTTGCGTCATGAATTTCAATGCGTAGGTGTGAGAAAATAATGACAGTAAGGATGTGATGGCCAGACAGAGGCAATAGGGCATATTGTAATTATTTGTAAACCGAAAAAATAAAATCTACCTCAATTATTTATTGTCTTTGTGATGTCTTACATCAGTGGGAAGAGTATACATAGAGTGTACTCTATACACACACCTACATGTATCTTATGTGTGATTTTAAGGGCAATATCTGGCCACAGGACATAGACGTAGTACAATGATATCCTACAAACAGATCTATATATACACACATACACACTATAGTTTGTGTTAAGGTATGGATCTTCCAGTAGATATGCAGCAGCGTACATGAAGTCTATGGTACTGATAATTACAACAATAGTTATAAACTGAAAATGTTACAAATTATTTTATCAGTGTAGGGAGTACTGGGTCGGAGTAGACCTTTTTACAATTAAAACAAAGAACCATGATTGCAAAGATGTATTTTAAAGCAGACTTTGTACTTAAGGGTACGATTGGGAAGGTGATAACAGGATGCAAAAATGTTGTAACAATGATAGATATTACAGTTATTGGTACACAAAAGAATATTAGCGTATGTGAATTCCCCGGTAGCGGTACTAATTGAAACAAAAAAAAAGACAACAAGAATATATATTTGCAATGCCTCGAGGCACAGGTTGGTCCATGCTCATTGTGCTTATACAGGTGTCGGCTGGACGTCAGATAATTAGAGGATTAGCGGTAGTATCATTGGGTAACTGTACCGTTACCCTGTTGTAGCTGCATTATCATTTTGTGCGCTTATTTATGTTTTCCAGACGATGTTTTGACATCGATGATTTGGCGGAAGTGTTTAATCACTTGGTGTGTTATACCATATTTCTGCATGGCAGTATTAAGCGGAAATCACAAAGTGGAATCCGACCAACTTTAACATAATCAAATTTGAATACGTCGTGATTGTTAATTTCGTTATCAATCATCATTATGGTAACAAAGATTCAAGATTTTCTTCATTTTAAAATGATCGAAGAATTCGTCCCGTTTGGATATTTTGTTAAATTAACGTAGCCGATTACAGTATGGCGGACTATGTCAAAACGACAAGTACGTTACACAATACAGTTTATTTTATTTAATGAACTTTCTTAATACCGGTGGCTATATGTTTTAATTGTTTATCTCTTTTAAATCTTATTAAATGCTGTCATCTTGATTAAACTTCTTATTTCTTTTATCATCTACTATCCTCGATAGTTGCAGTGTTCGTACTGTCTGTTGTCCCACATGATAAAAAGGTGACGATGTTGGTCGAACCTCGGATTCGTCGAATACCATGTATTCCAAGAACTATTGATCTGGACCCTACGATTTCGAGTAAACGGGGTTTTAATGTATACATTTTTTTAATAGAGTCTATCGCATGCGGACTACTTACAAATGAGGATATCGTAATACAATTTAGAACAACGAGGCATATGCACTTATACACAAAGTATAGTGTTGATATAAAGATAAAGGAGATTTTAAGATGCATATGTTAAACACCAATACCACCTAAATAGCTACAAAAGTAATTAAATATATATTCAATAACATACAATCCTTTTATATATATAATTAGATATGTTTTAACAGAATTATTCAGATGCCAAGGAACTATTTTTCAACCGAATACGTGAAATTTCCTATTCTTCTTGTGCATTTTATTGAAATAACTCGGTGATGCAGAAAACAAAAATATCCTCTCAGTTGACAATCAATTTGAAAATTCTTTTATACAGGTGACAACCTGGATTGCAATTTTATTAGAGTGTGTGTATTTCTTTACTGTTATCTGCCGATTCATTGACTACACCACTCTGCAGATAAAAGATATATAATAAAATGCATGTATTAATATAAAAAAAGTTATGAAAAAAACCCACTTTAAAAATCATTCTTTTAATTTGAACATATCCCAAATTCCAGCGATTTTCAAAACCATTAAAAACCTTACAAAAGGTGAAAAATAAGATCACAGCCCACTTACTCAATAATGAAATGATATTGATAATTCTCTTTAGAATGATACATTTAGTGTTAAGATGAGTTTCGTATTTCCTTAATCATAATATTTTCATTAATTGTAAAGGCACATTTTTGTAATCATAATATTTTCATTAATTGTAAAGGCACATTTTTGTAATCATCATGATAGAAATATCATTTTTCAATGTTTCAAATGACATTATTAAGGTTTTATTGCCCAAATCAGTATGTTTCTATAACTATAACAATTAATGTATCGCTTAAACTGATTATCATATTATTTTATTTTAAAATGCAGAATAAGATTTATTGTGTAAATCGAAACCTATATTTTCACACCGTAATTATAAGGTGATTTTGTTTCGATAATCATCTTGTAACAAAACGTTGTTTTTTTCATAAATGATAATATATTGTTATTATTATCGAGATCAGCTCAGCATGGTGTCTTCCAAATAGAAATGTGATACGCTCTTATAGAAAAATAATCATTAATCATACTAATAAATATTAATAACGCATTCCTTTGGCCGACAGCCGACCCCATCGGTGGGTATTGATACTAAAATAGTTAAATAACAGATGACTATATTAAGGCTTATTACTGCTGGATTAAATAACATCATTCCAATATTCCATGCGTAGATCTCGCAATAGCAAAAGAGTATTTGAAAAAATAGTATGCACACTTTTATGTATTGTAATACTTAATAGAATCGCTGATTTTCCACTGCAGAAAATGAAGAAGTCACAATTTTCACCATAAACAGCCCCTGTTTGAGACCTTATAATTCAGATGCATCGTTCATGTTATCAATGCAGCTTATTCGGTTTTTTGTAAAGGTTAAAGCATCGTTGTGGATGTACCAATCGCTAGTGCATCGGAACATGGTAAAGCCTGGTAACCCTTTATTGAAAAGTATACCAGTCATGTACCTTATAAGTATCCATGCGAAAATATTTGTGGATTTTTATGCACTTATTGTGATATGTGTATCTCACCGACATCAATGTAAATCACCCAATTAATTAATTTTTGTCACCTTTATCCCAAAATAAATTGAAGTCATCATCGGAATGGTATACAGTTAACAAATTAATAACGCTGTCTTTCTTATTTGCAAGTATAGTAGCATGTTTGACAATAATAATTTTTATCGTTTATAGTATTAAAAATTAGCAAAAGAAACAAAAATGATTTTTTCATTAACGCCAAACTCCTTAAATTGTTTTTATGCAAATGTTTTCTAACATATTAGACATTTGACATTCTTTTGATATCTAATTATTACCTCTGATGAATTCTAAATGGAGGAAAAAGTCATGTGACATATGGTTGAGTAAGTACTTACTGTGTTTGACTTTCTGATCGATAAATAAAAACTATATATTATGAGGATATTCTGCAAACAAGCCGAACAATAAAAGCTATGAGTGGGGTGGGGGACCTATCAAAGTCGTGATAAGCTATTCCAAAAGGCATTCAAGTCAAAACATTTTTCCAGTGTCTATTCTATGTGATGTAAAGTCAACATACCCAGCTACCAAAGTGTCGGTGTTGAAAACTCATTTGGTTCTTTACGTTTCTGATCTTCGAGGAGTTAATCTGAACGAGTTAATCAACAAAGCCAAGATAAACAAAGTATGCTGTCTGTGACACATGATAGATGTCAAGTACCCGAGGTGAGAAAACAGTTTCCAGACGTGTAGTACCTAAACCCATTGGCATTTGGTTTGATATTCCGCTTGTTACAAATACAGGCTTGTGCTTCGCGGGGATAACTTCTCGCTCAGTATGGATCGAGGAGAACCTATCAAACACCATCTAGTCAATTAACATGTAATATTATACCTGTTTTACAGTAAGCTGATACACAATTAACGTGTGAGACAGGTGTAACCGATACCTGCCCGGTGGTACGTTACGTGTTTGCCAGGTGGTCTTTTACGTGATAGCAGCCACCAGCAATTTTACGATTACCCCACGTAGGAATAGGGACGAGTATAAAAGGCTTCTCAACACAAGTTTGGCCAGTTCTTATATTGCCACTGGATGGTCATTGATCTAAACTTTTACTAAACGCATAACACTACATCAACGGAAAAGAATGGATTCTGTAATAACGGGAAACACAACCGATAGGATTAACAATGCATTGGCAGCACTGAGGAGTGAAATGGTAACTATTACTTCCATTGTTATATTTATTTATTTCAAACACTTCAATTTAAACATACATTAAAAAGCTCCAAATTTCTCTGCTTTAAATCTGCATTTACAATAAGGATCAAATGATTTATCAAATAACTTATTTTTATCATTACAGCTTGACCTCAGACAACAAGATGGCAAACTGATGAAACAGCTTATTTGTATCAACGAAAACATTAAAACTTTGTCGAAGAGGCCGATTCCTGCCAGAACAATTCGAAAGAGAATGTCTTTGGTGAAAGGGCGAAGGAAATTCATCAATCCAAATGAATCCATTCCAGAAGAAGATTCTAGTTCTGCAGATTCCGACAGTGACGACAGCGTTTCTGGTACAGAGAACTACCAATGATGGAGGAACCTGGTAGCGGTCACATGACGCTTCTTCAAATGAATACTTAAGGGGAGTCAATTTTCTCGCTTAAATGACAGGACGGAACCATTCCTAACTAGGAACTCTCTAGCTTTGAAGGTAATTTAATAATAATAATAATTAAAACAATTATTTACACTTGAAATTGTATTAGAATGGGTATATTTTTCAGGGTAATTGTGTAAACATTTGGTCGATATTTTTGTTCACTCATGCACTTTCTAAATCCCAATGTGTTTTTGTCGTTTCAGAATCTTCTAGCTAACAGACATGGTCCATCGGGATCTGGAATCCATGACGACATTTAGGTTTCCGTACCGGATCTGTGCATCACACAGAGGATTCTTGCCAATATCTGACACTGTTGGACACCGCATTGTCATATTTTAAACACAGAGGGCAACGAGGCAGCACTGGATCGTGACTTAACAATGTGGAAGAACTCAGTCTGGACTTAAATCGCTGTTTTCTGAATCAGGCCATTATTTTACGGTGTTTTACTGAAGAACATACAAGATCTGAAAGAAGCTTATGTTCAAATTGCGCTGTATAGGAAATGGTTATTTCTTTCAGATCTGACAATGACTTTTAAACTTTGTGTTCGCTCTCAATGTCTGAAGAGCGAAAAGCGTAAAAACCTTAGTCTTTCTTATAAATTACTTTTGTTCACCTCTGTCGATTACCTGCACGTGTTCGTATTATGTTAATGTATTTAACAGTGCATCAGAGGACAATAGTAAACACAGCACATTTGTATATTTGGTGTGCAGTGCACCTACTATATATAATTATGTGCATTAATTGGAATAAAGATATGTGTTTGCGTCATGAATGTCAATGCGAAGGTGTGAGAAATTATGACAGTAAGGAAGTGATGTCGAGTGGCAATAGGGCATTTTGCAATTATTTGTAAACCAAAAAAATAAAATCTACCTCAATTATATATTGTCGTTGTGTTTCACTTCATACGATGTCTTACGTCAGTGGGTTGAGTTTACATATAGTGTATTCTATAAACACACCTATCTGTGTGATTTTAAGTGCAATATTTGGACACGGGCCATATACATGGCACAATGATATCCTACAAACAGGTCTATATATACACACATACACACTATAGTTTGTGTTAAGGTATGTATCTTCCACTAGATATGCAGCAGCGTACATGAAGTCTATGGTACTGATAATTACAACAATAGTTATGAACTTAAAATGTTACAAACTATTTTATCAGTGTAGAGAATACTGGGTCGGAGTAGACCTTTCTACAATTAAAACAAAGAACCATGATTGCAAAGATGTATTTCAAAGCGAACTTTGTAATTAAGGGGACGATTGGGTAGGTGATAACAGGATGCAAAAATGTTGTGACAATGATAGATATTATACTTGTTGGTATACAAAGGAAGTTTAGCGTACAATTGTATGTGAATTCCCCGGTAGCGGTACTACTTAAAACAAAGACAACAAGAATACATATTTTACGCGCGGTTCCTTTATACGTTATCTAACTTGTTAATAAAATAAAATAAAAATGTCCATTTGTTTTTTTAGTACAATGATGTCTGAAAATCGCATGATAAAATTTAACATGAAGGCACTTTAATTACGAATCGTACAGGTAGATAATTTATTAACAAAGTATGTGCTGATATTTTCATGAAAATGTGATTTGTTTACTATTGTCTTCTGATGTACTGTTAAATTAATTTACATAAAACGAAATACCAGCAGGTATTCAGCAGAGGTGAACAAATTAATCACATCATTTACCTACAATAGCATCAGTTAACGTCAACACAGGATAGAAATAACAGGAACCGACATGATGTAAATAGAAATGGGAGGGAAGAACTACCACAAAAAACAGTCTTAGTGACTAACTATTCTATTATCAAAATGTCAGGGAATAGGCGGTCATACGTGTCACAAAAACAATAACAAATAGTGTTAACGTTATTATAAATTGTGTTTCTGTTATTAATACAAAACAATATTTTCATTTCCTCGACTAAATGACATTACATATTAACAAGAGGTCGATTCCTATTAATGGGCGCCAGTATTACATATGCATGTTTGAAAATGCAGCTGGTAAAAGCGGCATCGTGCGATATATTTTCGATTCATTTGTTTCAAGAGAAAAACATTGGAATGCAATCAGATTCGTACGATTAGACAATACTCGACCTATTTATTCTCGACATGTGTGTTTTTATCAGTATGCCTGTATATGGAAAAGTCGATTACAATTTCTACATGAAGACAATGGTTGGATACACGTGTTGGTACATGTACATTTTTTTTATTTTGTTTTAGCATGATATAATATATGTCACCTACGTAAATTTGCGACATGCAATGTGTAGTAGGGGGCCTTTATGACACATTTTAATTATTGATTACCAATCTTACACCATCTAGACAATTAACATGTAACAATATACCTGTTTTACCACTAACCAATACATGTCCTACCTATCAATGGTGTAAATGATCGCTATCCGTTGGTTCGTTACCGAGCTGCTTTGTTTTTTGGTATGGGTTTTCAACCACCCACAAATGTTGCAACAACGCACCACGTGGGTGGGAGAGACGTCCGGTATATATAGGAGTCAGAGCGCCAGCCTGGTCATTTATTACAAAGCTGCCTGACAACGCCAAACCTTACCTTCTTCTACGACACACCTTCATATCGAAGGATTACAATGGACTCTTTACTTACATCAGCTCCCGCCACTTTCAGCTCAACTGATAGAATCAACAATGCTCTTGCTACTCTAAGAAGCGAAATGGTAAGCATCTCTGTCCTTTAGTATATCCTAAATAATGAAAATTAGTTTTTATTCAGTCACTGCATATACCAATATTAAGTCCAAAACCCAATTAATGCTATTTTACCTTTTATTTAGCTTGACCTAAGACAACAAGATGGACAATTGATGCAACAGCTTATGCGTATCAATGACAATATCAAGACATTGTCCAAACGGAGGCAAGCTCCCAGCAGATCCACAAAGAAAAAGTTTTCTTTGGTAAAAGGACGACGGAAGTTCATCAACCCGAATGAATCAATTCCAGAAGAGGAAAATCCACTCGTGTTACAACAGGAAACGTCCAAGTATTGCATGAGAAGTAATCTGAGTGGTTCCCTCTCTAGTATCGAAGGTAAATATTTTTGTTTTCTTTATTTCCATTAAATTGGTATTTCAAATTATATTTACAGGTATACGGTTTAATGCCATTCAGTTTGGCATACTTTATCTAATACTGAAACTTGCTATATCCCTGTGTTTGTGTCTTACATTTGTACAAGATATCAAATGAAGCTAATATATCTTGTCAAATATATGAATTTCCTTTGGTTTTTTTTTTATTACTATTCAGTACATAGGATTATTCTTAAAATCATTTATCTTGTTATTCCAGATGTTTCAAGTTCAACAGAAGACCTGAGCTCCGCGGAATCCGACAATGACGAAAGCCTATCCAGTATAGAGCCAAATTTTTAGTAACGGAGGCAAGTTATATACAGCCAACCTGTACCAGATGAACACTTTACTGTAAAAAAAACTTTTCGGAATCAAAAACGTCTATGGAGTATCTTTGGAGTGTTTTCCATTACTGACAATTGCGGTTTAGACAAAATCCACATGCAACTTAATTTCTTTCTATGGAGAGTAATTTTAAAACTAATCCATATTCGTGACTCTCATAAAAGCCTAAGAGTGACAATGAACAATTCGATGCCAAAAGAACTGCCTTCGATTGTTTTGCTCCGGAGACCAAAATGAAACTGTTAATCTACAACTTTTCATTTGACTTATATATGTATGGTATGACAGTATGTACTGTCTGCCAAATACCGTATTGTGTTTATTTGGTGTTACAGTCCCTCCTTACAATGTATATGGAGACTGTATACTTATCTATGTAGGTAAATTGTTAATGATGTTTTGACTGACAAGATGTGTTGTTCTCAACACGTTACATACAAATAACAAGCAGATCATATCTGTACTAAATATTATATATCCAACATTTCTAAACGTTCGGTTGAATATAATCGATTATAAGATTTCATTTACTTTTAAATTGATGAAGAATGAGAATATAAATGTGTGTGAATGATGTATGCTCGCCTGTTTTGAACACGAAATATTGACAACAGTCTGAGATTTTAAGGCTGAACTAATTTTATTATTGTTATTTTTATACATTTGTTATCGATCGAATAAAGGAGAAAAAATAATAATGATTTGCTTTATTATGTGTAACATATTACAAAACAGTAACAACGACGCCGACAACCCCTACAGCGTCAACAGCAATTTTACTTACATATCTGTATTAAAGCGGTCTCTTAAAATACTATTGACATCTATTGAAACTGGCAAACAGAGTTACTACAGTTGAAAACCATTTTTATAAGATAAAATGTTAATGAAGTATAAATAAGCAATAATAACACAGTAGACAGGTTCTGGAGGAATGGAAATGTAAACAGTGTAATATGCCAGTTCAAAGATGTTGAATTGTCTGAAAATCTGCCCAAAACATTTCAATAGGAAAGAAGTGAATATCACACCACATCATCCGTGCATGACGTCAAATGTCAAGTTGCCCTGATCAAAAGAACAGATAGAATTCTCTCATGAATATTCTAAAGTGTTCGGTTTAAAAGACAGGCATTGTGCAATGAAATATAAAGCATGTTTTTCAATAGAGTGTATCGCATGCGGACAACTTACAAATGAGGATGTCGTAATACATTGCAGAACAACGAGGCCTATGTACGTATAAGCAAAGCATAGTGTTAATATACAGATTAAGGGGATTTTAAGATGCATATGTTAATCATTTTGATGACAAAATAAGTTATCAATTGATTTAACCGTACGGAACAAAGCTGTTAATTTCTACATATGCAAGTAAATGGTATCTTACACATGAATGATAAACGTTATGCATAACCAGCAATCATTATTCACTCGTTTGTCCCCAAACGCATGTCCTTATGCTGTAGGTTGACGGAAATCTACATCACAATAGAAAAACATATAACAATGTATAATTGTAATAGCAATGTCAATGTCTAAACATACCATCAATGAAGCCATGATTTTTATGAGAGTTGTGTCCCTTTACAGTTGATTGAAGAGGAAATATGACCTGATATAAGCCAATATATTTTAAAGCTAAAATTATGCAGTCGATTATAAATCTGTTTTTTTTTTTTACCAAAACAAATTAGTTAACGTCACAGTACCAAAATCGGAACAGTACCCAAATCGGGACACTTGAAGCAAAAAGTCATAAGAAATTTACATGTTTTGTATAGAAGTATTTTTAAATTGAAAATGTTGATTTAAAGATGCTGATATACCAATAAAACATGATATGAACTTTATTTACTGCCACTTATGGCTACAATCACAGTTTAATTTTGTAAATAATGACGAAAATGTAACGTTCTTAATTGTTGCGCCATGCGCCGTTATTGATTTTCAATTTGTGTATGTGATTTTTCAAAATCCTGTTATTTCACAACTAATGGTAGTTTGGAAAAGAAATTCATTCAGAACGACCCTTGACTCTTTAATATTCCAAACATATGCCATGTTCTGCTAAATACTGTTTTCATCACCAAGTATAAGCCAAAACTGGAAGGGATGTACCGATTTGGGTACAGCTACACCTGGTTCGCGATTACGTAACCATGACTATATTTCCGGTTCTATTTATAGAACCACTCGCTGGAAATATCAGCTTGTTATCAACATGAAAAGATAATAATATCTATTTCGGAAAGTGAACAAATAATAATGGGATCGGTACTATGGTATAAAATACATCAATGTTTCACTATAAAGTGACCCGATTTGGGTACTGTGACGTTAGCATCTTCCAAAAATATTACTGTAGTTGGTTTTTCCTATTCTCTTTTTTCAAACACGAACTGTTTACATAAAATTGGACGTAGACAACAATGTAGTCAATGACTACTTCGACACCAACAGTATATATTTACGATTCCTGTTTGCACGTTTGACACCATGTAGTCCCTATACCAGGAGTCAAGCCCACGCTTAGCATCACACGGGGGTCCAAAGGCTGTTTCTCATGGCTTTGTTAGCAATTATAATTATACCTAACTGACTTCAGAATGAATTATAATCTACTTTAAGACGTTATATCATAACGTTATCATTGTTTTCGTGCTGTATCCAGCTCTGTTGACTGCTTATATGTATTGTAAACCCTCACCCACCAAGCGTAGCTGGGGGTAAGCTGACTGTTGTTGTCAGCCGTAAAACGGGTGCACACACAATCCCACCTTGTTGTGTACATTTCGGGAGGTGTCTGCTACAGGCGCCGTAAATTGTTCAACACACTTGTCACACCACAGGTATACACGTCCTTTTTGTACTGGTACACTCCTTAACAAGTGCATGTTGTCAAAGGCGCGTGTCAATTTGTAGCGAATGACAATGATAGGGGGAGGGTTTTTATAGATTGTCTTCGTTTTGTTTTACATTTATGATATATAAATTACAGAAGCAATGTTATTAGTTAAACAAACGGTGTGAGAAAATGTCAATTTAAGTTACCACTGTTTGGTTTGTTTGAGTTTTACATCCTATTAACAGCTTTGGTAATTTAAGGACGTATCAGGTTTTGGTGGTGGAGGAAAGTCGGAGTTCCCGAAGAAAAACCACCGACCTGCGGCAAGTACCTGGCAACTGCCTCACTTAGGCCTCGAACCCGCGACCTAGTGGTGGAGTGGTAGTGGTAGCAGAATTCATACGCCTTAACCACCTGGCCGCTGCGGCCCTAAATTACCGAAGACTGTGCGTGTATAAAGTGAGAAGATATAACAAGGATGACAAAATATTAGTTAGAACTTGATAAAGTAGGCCGAATGGCCTGATGTAATTTTTTCCGAAATATTTCGAATATAAGTAATGAATCCTGCAATGATACACAGGCAGACGGTGCTTAGCAATATATTATCAACGAATTGCTATTATCCTAATAATATTATTAAGTTAATAGTCATACATAAACAGTGTGATCTATATCGATATGTAAACGAAGCTGTTCAATATGCAATTGATCTGTTGCACAAGCTAATTGGTTTTACAATCACTATACTATTTAGGACGTTTTCTGTTGTTTCCAATTAGCCTTTACCCTGTCATCTTTTGACAACTCTTGTTAGAATTAACTTGACGAAACTGGACAACATATATAATATGTTAGATATCGTGTTTTCTTAACCGATAATCATATATTCATAGGCATCTCCAGACGATATAGAGATAAACTTTGAACGCAGAATGTAAATTCTAATCCTTGACAAGCAAATCATGAAATGAACACATGCTTCTTTGAAATTAGCACCTTACGTGTGTTCCTGTAACGTAAGGGATTTTGTTAATTATATGCGCAGGCGTTAAAATCAGGACACGTGTATAATATGTCGCCCAATGATGCACTCATTTACATAAATAGAAACCGTTGTAACGTCACTTATACTGACATTTGTGAAGAAATTAAAATAAAGTATCAATACACATATGATGACAATCTCAATGACAAGATACAATTGTACATAAAACTCGAAATTAGAGTTAAGTGTTACGTACCTTATATCTATGATAATAGTGTGAGAAGGACATTTCTAACGAAGAGAAAGAAACAAGCTATTACAGTTAAAACAGGTCGGATTACATTTGTATTGACTATTGCAATGATAACCTATCTTCTCTTGTGTTTGTGATACACAGGGTTAACTGGTCCCCCTTCAGTAGCGTTATATTTTAAAACTTCTTCTAAAATAATTAACACTTCTTCGTTATTTTTGTCCTTTGAAGTAACTATATTTCCTTCGAAGGGTATTTAAAGTATATTATACATAAAATATCTGCATTGAGTGTAAAAGTTTAAAAATAAAATGTTAATTGAATTGAACTTGCAAATGTGATTACTTTGTTGATTAGGTCTAGAAATAGACGACTAATTATAATTTTAACTAAGTTCTCTCCTGCAGCGAAACGCACAATGCCTATGGCTATCTGTCAGGGAATAAACAAATTAAACCCGTCCTTGAATGCATTCTATAACATACAGAGCAACCTATCATTACGAGATGGAAGTTATTTTAACATTGCGGGGAGCTATTTTACAAGGCTAGAGAGGTTTAGGGCACAATAACATACCATATGTTATCATGTATATGGTTTATGTGCTGGAAAGCCATTGACGTAAACTTCATTACATGGCAACAACAATTGACATGTTTCAGGGTAAAACCGCGTGAGAGCTCAACCTTATTTGTATCTGGTGATTACGTATACACGAAAGAAAGACGCTCTCGCGACAATAGACCGTGATGACTCACTGGTGAAATTCATGGGGAAACACAGCATCGATAAACAGAAAACCGAAAACAAATACAACGTGATAATGAACAATGGGAACCAAGGAGATAACAAACAAATATATACAACATCAATCACCATTCAACTACTTTTCCGCTGATGATACACTTTTGAGATTATATCATTATATCCACCCAAGACATATGAGTTAGATATATAAAAAGGAGACAAACACGGAACTGGGTGTTACGCATAACAAAGAGTAGTGGGAAAACCCATATCCGATTATGTCATATGAGATATTGAGCATTATCGATAATAGTCTTATCTTATGATTTACAAACACAACACTTGAAAATAGTCTTTTGGTTTCGGTAGCAAACCCGGATACGGGTAACCGGTGGTAAATCAATCTAATAACAACTTGTCTTTTAGTTGAGAAATGTACTCTTGTGTTTTTAAGAATAGTTCATATTAGAACGAGCATTATGTATATATATATATATGAATATACGTCCTAATCTCAAGATTCATTAATATAAAATTGAAATAAAACTATTTTTCTTAATTATATGCATTAAAAAAGATTTCTATGGGTTTGTTTTGAATTATAGGAAATTTAAAAGATTTTTTTAAAAGAAATACTTAAATTTCTTTGGACATCTGACTTAATATGGCATTAAGATAATGCTGCCTGGTACAGCTAGGTCTAGATACCTATCAAAATGAGTTGCAAATAGGTGCACAACTGCTAGATTGGCCAGTTTTTAGATACATAATTATGATTGACGTCATAAGTGCTATGCGGATCACTTGATCTGGCTAGTGCTAAATCGTTAAAGTGTATTTTAATGACATTAAATACATTTATGCAAAAGCCGTTGCTGATGTTTGCTGATTATGATGTCAGGCCCATCCTGTTTTACATGTAGTATATAAAAGAGGATAAAAAATATGATAGCTAGTTAATTGGTATAATGACAACTCATTTCACTACAAAAAGATTTCAAATTATACGTATAAGAAAATCTTACATTTGAGGACTTGCTGTACAAAATATTTCGTGTATGTTTTACATCATACACGTTAGTTTTCCATGAAATTTGATATCAATACTTTGTTTTTGCACTTAATGTGCATCAAGGTAAATTTGATTCCCATGTTACGTTCTATCTATTGAGATGTATTACATTTGATTATGAACACGTGCATCGCTCATAAAATTCCTCAATACACATAAACTACATGATCTTAAGTTTATAATGTATATACATGTAGATATATGATAAAAAGTTATTTGGCAAGCAGTGTAATTCTAAACATAAATCATTTAAAATTCTATCTCGAAAAACTCAGAAAATTATATCTTGCAGGTAAATAAGGAAAAACCGTAAATTAACTTTCTTGTTATTTATCGTCGGTAGCTTCTGCCTACCCTTTAAAAAGGACATAAATCTAATCTAAACGAAATATCATTAAAGATGTCCGGCTATTTTTGTTCAATCGATAACACAACATAGAAAACTCCCGGATGTCCTTGTATTTATCTCCGTGTCTAGATGACATCTTAATATATATTTTGACACCATTTATATTCTGATTGGCAGTTTAGAATGTGGCTTGTTATAAGGTTGAGTCTTTTATATGTACAGACATGTAATGGTCATGATAATAAATGGCAAATTGATATTTGTGAAAACGTTCCTATTACAAAAGTTTAAATCTTGATAAATAGAATGTATGAACCATGCCCAACGTTAGCATGTTAATATATGAAACCTGCCTCGTTTACAGTCAATTGTATTCTATAAACTCTTTATTTTGTTTACGGGTAAGCAAGCTACGGTAAATATCACAACTGCAACTTAATCGTGTCACAGTATAATAGCGGGTTGGATATCTGATGTTTTTCTTAATCAATGCATGAAATAAAAAAAACAGATTTGATTCCCAGAGATTTAAAAAAAAAGTTATTTCATCAAATGGCATGTTCGTAAGGCACTGGACACTTCCTGTTGTCAGTCTGTTTTCATTTCAGAATATTTTATTGTACTGATTTCATGTACAAAAGGAATTGGGCAACAGGCATAGCCTAAATAAGCCCTCTCCTTACAAAACATAACAGTATATACATATCATATAAATGTTACTTTAACAGATGTTTCTTTAAGTATTAAAATAAGACTAAAATCAATTTGTTGCATCTCGATGTGGTATTTTAGCTAGCATAACTGTTTTATGACATTTCCGTGAGATGATTTTGAATTTTTAGACGTCTTTAAATGACCTTTGCTAATGCTAAAACGCAAAATCCTAAACTTACAAATATATGAACACTCCATGAATGACGCTAGCCCGGGTGTTACATGTATAATTTAACATAACTATGTAATTGTATAACTGCCCTACATATCAGCGATTTGTGTTTATAAGTATATAATCAATTTTGATGATAATATGATATATTTCAAACCATAAAACGTGAACGAACTCTATATTAATGGTATTTTTTTTTTTTTTCGCTTTGAACATCAAAACGAATTCAAATACTTCATGAATATTTTAACCACATAGTATAACATGTCTAAACAATGAATATAAGTCTAATGCTGATCTGACTCGAGTTGAAATTTTCGAGAGTCAATCGGTTTAAGTAAATATTTTAGGCAACAAAATTAAGATATTTAAGGTTGACAGTGGTCCTTATCTTTTCAGATACACTGTTTCTCATTTATGTGATTTCATTATATACTTTTCAATCATAAGATTTTACTAAAGATACTGCTACGAAACACTTACAAATACTACTGTTTTACGAACATAGAATGATGTGACACTGTGTATAACCTGGTGTCTATGGCTGTTATCTATGTTAATTTTCCCCTAATGTTATCCTTCCAGACAATATAGCAACGCATTTATCGTATAGTTCTTGTATTTAGCACTGGGCAGATGGGCTAATTTATCACAGGAGTGAACAGCAGAAACAGCCAATAACAAACATAGGTATCAATTGTAAAGAGCGAAACTAACACTGGATGATTACAAATTTTAACAGTGAAGGATGAAGGAATTTTGCATGGGCGAAAATGTCCTGTTATACATTTTTCATTTACATGAAGTCGATATCGTTTAAAATGGGGACTTACTCACAAATGTTGGTAACAACACTTATTGTATTAAGATTTTCGAGAGAATGAATTCGAGATGAGGAAGGACAAAACAAAACCTGACGTTTTGAAATGGACAATTGAAGAATGCTCAAATCCCTAAAACCACTTGAAATATTTGAATACATGGCATGGTTGTTTGTCATACAATGGATCGGAAACGCATTGTTTATGGAATTAATCAGAAACCAAAACTATTTGGAACTTGTTTAAGATTTTTTATTTGTTCTGATCTCATTTGGTATGATAACATTCAAAACATTCACAAGCATCCAGGCGTATACATTCAAACAAATTCTTCTGGAGATATCAACACATTCATACGATAACAAATGATCGACAAAATAATGTTTAGCAAACACATATATCCCATCCATTCATGCTTATCATCAGGTCGATAATACATGTCAAACATTTGTTTTACGTTCTAACGCAAACAGTATGGCTGTATAAATCAATATTATAACTTACACTACTTATCTAGAGTCACGTTCTCATCTCACTTACTCACACTCCTACACTTAGAAGCAAATGAGCAATCATGGGATAAGCCTCGCTTGACGTCTTGAAGTCTTATGACTATTTCGACCTATGACTCGTGGCACCATAATACGATAAACCACTGCAAGCACATTATTTGTTCATGTTCTTGTTCTGTTGGTTCAGCTTTTTTATCGTCTCTCATTGCGGAAATACAACAGTCAGAGAACTACCGTCCTTATAAACCAATTCCATTCTAATATCAAAGACCACTAATGATATGCGTGATACTTCAGGTAAATACGTCTCAGAGTCCAGTTTCAGATGGTCTGTTACTAGTTAAAGCTTTCCTGCAAATCCGTATCGATATTGCCGCGAGGGTCCTTGATTCAGTCATCACGGAGACTTCGAGTATCCTGGAGGCAGTTCAGCGATAACCTGGAGTTGTTTTTAAGACATTCCCTGGTTAAAGCGACATGGCTTTTCCTGAGAACTGTATTTGGGAGTATCAGGAAAATAGTCTGAGCAAGATTTTGGAGTCAGGCTCACATTTTTAAAGTGTCATAAGACGATGAAATGTTTCCAATTGATTTCATCAGTTCTCAAGACACAACTGGTTGTTCAAAGCTTTCAGACTGCGAGAACTTCCACAGTTTGATATTCCTTCTAAAAATTTCCTCATATGCTAGGTCATCTGTTTCTGGAATTTTCGCGACGAACAAAGATCGCGAAGTTACGGAGGCAAAAGAGTCACTTAGGTTTTGTTCTGTACCACAAAAACTTTCATCACTGTCAGAATCCACGCAACCCATATCTTCGGTCGAGCTGGAGGAATCTAAAACAATAAGAATAAACTTGTTTGTTAGTTTTGAGATAATACATTTCCTTTTATTTCAAAATGACACTGTTGAAAATATATTCAATTATGCAGAATTATGTTCAAACAGAACATGTGTTCTTTACTTTGGTTCTTAAACTGAAGGCGATTAAAAAAAATAACAGGTATTACTTACCAATGCTACAAAAAGACCCGCTGAAGCTCCATGTCATTCGTTTTTGTTGGAAATTTGTGGAATGTTCTGGGATTGATTCATCACTGTTGACAAATTCTCTCCTCCCATTGACAAACGATAACTTTTTCTTCAATGGTCTGTGGGAACTTGGACGTCGTTTGGCTAAGCTCTGGATGGTGTCGTTGATGTTGATGAGCTGTTTCATTAACATCACGTCTTGTTGTCTGAGGTCGGCCTGAAATAATAATAGATTGAAGATGTAAATTCATACGGTACAGCGTGTGTCAGTGATACTATTCAAAAGATACCCTTTTTGTGAAGAACAAGTCTAGTTTTAGAAATGTGTGGTGATTACAATTAATAATAAAATCAAAGTATAAGAAATCAATTTAAAGATAAAAAAATATGTTTTTCTAATAACTAGATAATTAAAGTATCTATTGTAAGAAACTAACAGAGGACAATTCCAAGTGTCACTAAATAAAAAATACAGATTTTAAAATGAATTTCTAAACTAATATAGACATTTTTTTCATATTACAAAACAAATGAAAGTACAAATTACCATTTCACTCCGCAGTGTTGCCAGAGCACCGTTTATCCTATCAGTAGCAGAACCGCTAGCTGGAGCTGATGTCAGTACAGAATCCATTGTAAACCTGACGTTGACTTTTCTTACTCTTTATGGCTCTAATAGCAGGTACGTGTTACCTGTAATGTGTTTCGTTTATAACTGAAGATTTACCTGGTGCTTTCACTCCTATATATACTGTGGGACGTTAACACCTCACTACAAAGCACCAGGTGATCCGACTATGTGTGCTACAATACACCTGTGCCCGGTAACGTGTCGACAGGTAAACTGTCTGCTGGGTCGAGGCTCCCTCTGATACCGGCGTGTCCAATCATATTTATGTGTAACATAGCATAATGATATAAGGGGGATATTAACAGTAGGAGTCCGGCTTCGCTGTGGTCTAAACAGCTATCGTAGAACGGCAGTCGGTCCTTGAACTTTGTGTCATAGGGATGTTGACTCCATGAAAGATTATTATTTTGTGTCAAGGAATTCAAAACAACTTTTTGTCTATTTTTTAAGCTACAATTAAAAATTGAAATGATTGTTAAATATTAAAGTTTAAAAATTGAAAGTTCGGGTCTTGATATTGTAACAGATGTTTTATTTTATTATATTCTAATCGAACATTTTCTTTCATTTCACATTAATATATATTCCTGTTATTGCTCGATATATGGAATATTTTCCATAAAAATACATTTTGTTGTTTTTTATTCCTTACATTATTAAAAAGCAGACATTCAATAACGTCCTTTAGACGTCCCGTAAATTTGATACGAGTTACCTGGGATTCCCACTTTTTTGTGTGTCTTTATTTGGATAGTTCCGCTGTATTTGTCCAATCTGCCCTTGGCGCTGACTGATATATTACAGTGACTATAATTAATTTAACTCTTTCAGAACATCTAGGCTCCCCTTACTGTCGACGCTATATATTGATCTAAATGGTTCTTCGTTCCCATAACTGTATACACAGATGGACAAAAATGATGAAGCCTTTCTGAGATATTCATCAAAACGAACAAAACGAACGCAACCACGTTGAATTTTGTTTATCTTGAAGTTCTACAGAAATGTACTTCGTTTCATCTCGATTACAAGAGAACCCTTGATTTCATTATCATCATTATAAGGTTTTTGATATAGCGCTCCTTCCAATTAAAACAAACCACTCTACGGGGATTTAAATAACATAGATATACAATTCTTATATGTATCATCATTGCCCAAACGACAATTATATATATCGGGTTTTATGTTTACTCGTTATATCTGTATTTCATTGTGCTAAATCGTCTTTAGCAATCAACTGAAAAAAATGACTTTAAATACTTAAAACACATTTCAAACAATCAGATTTAAAAATTAGTTAACATACACTTCGGATTTCCCAATATGTATATGATTCTTGTGATATGATATCAGTTAAAGCGTGTGTATTGCTAACAATATATGTCAGTTTAGTCATGTTTATCGTGCATTCTTCATATAATTTCATTTAGACTTTCTGCCATGGCGTTATAGGAAACGTGTTTGACACTCACAGATTTTTTTTATTGTGAATACACACACGCCGTTATACGAGTAAAAATGTATTCTTAAGGTTTTCCCTAAACAATGACGTGTCCTTTGCATACTAATTCGTAAAAAAGTTGGATATTTCCTAATGCGGGGGATGTGGTAATGCATTTATCTACAAGTTAGTATATACAATATTGTTACGTTTCGCACGTATATGAAATCATATTAATATATGCACGTAATTAGCATACTGTACACCATGATATTATTCACATGCAACACGACACCACATCCGACAGAATATTTCGTAATTAAAATTATTCATAGTGATTAATTAACTCATTTACTTGACTAACAGCCGACCTACTCAACGCGTAATGTATCATATAACCTCACTAATAAAATTCACAAGCCGACACTTTTGATGTTTATTTTACCGCTATACTTAGTTGTACACAATAGTGATCGTAAATGGATTATCATGACAAATATTTACGTCACTTACAATGAATTAAACAGGAAAAAACCCGGAAGTTACTTCCGGCGGTGGTTTTAATGCTATTTACACATTATATCAAACCATACACTTTATAAGATGTCGGTGTATTGTTACAAATTCTTTCCAAATAAAGCATTGACATTTCTTCTCTAATTAAAAATTGAAAAAAACAAACAAACACAGCAACATCTTCGTGTATAATACTGGCATGTGACACTTATAGTTATTGCTACATTAGACATATGAATTATTGTTTTCCTCATAAAAAGGTGTCATTGAATATTATCTTGATAACAGAAATAACAATGCTTCATAAAGTTATTTAGCTGTAGCACATGCTATTAGTGAATTTACTATTCTGAAGAAAACAAATGTTTGAATATGTTTGAAAATGAAAACAGGAGATATAATGCTTTGAAAAAACAAGGTAATCTTCCATATGTTATTCCATAGGACGGTTTCAATGGTATTTAAGACTGCAAGCGCATATAGGGATCTGATGCATACAAAAGCAGAGGCAGAAGTTTTCGCATTAGTGAACTAAATGCCCTACATAATGATAAAATAACACGTTCCAAGCTCGGTGGGAAGGAACCTTGTATCCCCTACTCATTTGTAGGGCCACATGCGTTTTATGAAATATAATTGATCTACCCGAAGTTTGAGACAATATTGCCGGTAAAGATTGGTTTTATAATCCACATACATCTGTTGGTTCTCTCTTTACACGATTGCGTCACTACGTGGGGCAGAGCAAACATGTGTCTCCGCATGAATTAGAGACTAACACATGATCCCCAATAATTTGGAATTATTTTTGTATACGTTAAAGAGTGGCAATCGGTACATTTTGGCTATAACCCTGCTCCTAATGTATTTATTTCTCTCAGTTCTATTTCGAATTCATAGGGACGCGATTTAATTTATTATACGTTCGGTCGTCATATAGAAATCATAAAAAATATTGACTCGAGAATACATTCCATTTTCCGAAAGTTTGGCATATTTCCAATCCAAAAAAGGACGTGATAACATAATATTTCCTTGGGTGGGAGTGACCTTGTTTGACAAAAAAATAGATGCAACATAATTTATAGGAATGAATACGCATGTTAATGACACTCAAATACTGAAAATTAACTGCATTTAGTAAATAATCCAGAAGCTATTACATACGCAAATATCATTTATACCGATACAGTGTCTAGTAACTTCTTGTCACGATACAAAAACTAATAATATTTTTTTTACATTTTATTGACAAAAAGCTCTTTCTGGATCACTGAGGTATATTATGACCCTGACCAAAATAGATTTTATTTTGATGTTTATTAAAATGTTCAATAACAAGTAAATTGGATTTGAAGGTGTCATTTCTTAATATTAGAGTAATATCAAACTAATAAACAAACGAAGCAATAACGTTGTGACGCCCTATCTATAGATGTTTGCAGATAATACACGCATGACAGAATATAACGATAATAAGTTAGTAAAGAAAAAAATATTTACCATTAGCTTTTAACGTTTTGCTGAAATGTTTACACACTGACGTAAGTTTAATGCTGTTTGAACATCAATTCTCTGTGCTGACTAACACCTGTGTGGAAATAAATCATTGTCTCTTTAGGTTGGGATAAAATCTGTGACTTAAATGCGTATCATATTTAATGTATATTGATTTGATGATGTCATGGCTTATATCAATGTGGACATATATTTCTATGGGATACAATATATCTAGTAATGAAGCTATCACAGCTTAGAGCATAAAGCCTGTTATACAGGTTATGTACAGTACAGAAGTAAAACCAAGGATGCAGTGTATCGTGCTATTTATCTATCTTCAGTCAGACCTGCTTGTTTTATTTTTCGCTGTACTATGATCCATGGGTATACATTATATCTTTTTAGATATTTAAACGTTAAACACATTGTTTGTTTCAGAACAGTTCGTTTGTAAAACAATCCTCCGTTCAGATATCTTATTTGTAACCCAAAAAATATTGTTTTCTACACACTGTTCTGCCTATGGCCATCACTTGTTTTTGAATACATACTTACTTAACTGCCTCGATCCGTCCGTATATTGAGATGAGCCCCCAAAAACAAACAAAGGATTTACACTGATATGTAACAGGAAGTTTGAAGGGAAATAATTGAGCCATGCAGAAAATATTGGAACTATAGGTCGATAAAACAATAGGCAACAAGAAAGGAAGAGATAAGTATTAAAGTGGGGTAAATATCAACCCCATATACACACATCCATATACCCCTCTCCTACCCAATATCATCAAGAAAACCCCGAACACACCCACCCATACAATCTGCTCTCACACAATCTTCTCATTAAGTCCCATTATAAAACCAGTTGCTGCCCCCCCTCCACACCATACCCACACACGCTGATCCCATCCCAATCCACTTCATCCCCCATCCCCCACCTCCACTTCTCCCCCTTAGCCATACACACCATTCCAATCCAACCTCTTCCCAACCTCTCCTACCCCACATTAAAGCCCACCATCTCCTTACTAAATCCCATCGAGACACAAGTTGCTCAGGACGGATTAGCATGTCGATGCTATTTTGGCATCCGAATTTTATGCTGTAATATTGTGTGTTTATCTAATTTCACATCTTAGATTAAAACAGTTTAAGCCTTGGTTCTAAAATCTGGATTAAGATATTTTCCCATGTATAATTGTTTATCTATAGAAGTAAAGGGTCAATCGTCACTTCACCTCCCAGTGACCGATGGGTCTTTAATAAGTATATAGGTTTAATCATCAAGAGTTTATATCAAGGATGGGTGCAGTGTATGTACTATGGGCCATCTAATTGCCTATATTTACTTGTGCAAATATTATCCTTGGATCTCAACATGATAACGTATTTCTTTACCCGATAGGATAATTAACGGTTACTGTGATATGAACCTATATACCCCTTTAACAGTAAGCTGTATACTGCAAAATATTCGTCTTTATGACGGTATTTGAAGTGTATCGATCATTTATAAGTAAATGAATATATTCATCAGTCTTCGACTTATTGACTTGAAAGAGAAAAGCTGATACCAAAGTATGCATATAATATTTATCTCCCGCAAGGTATCAAACTTCTGATGTCAGCAATACATGTTATATACACTTTAAGCCAAGCTGTTTACACAAATTTAAATATAATACCATTATTTTTACCTCCATACCATGGGTATTATTTATTAACTTTGAATAATCGATCTGAAATTCAAAGCTGTCATGTTTT